ATTAGCTAAAGCTGGACAGAAAGAAAGGACGCCAACGTCTCATGCCTGTTTCCTTACATTTCCTGGACATGGCACTGATCCCAGTAGATTGTGGCCTGTTATTATTCCTATAACTGTCCTAGTTTTCTGCCATTTCCTATCCTCTCCAATTTGTGATTTTGCGTCTTGATGTTTTTCCTACAAAAGGAGGGACCTAGAATTTTTACTAAGCCGCTTCCGAAGAGCTGACAGTTTTTACGAGGAGCCTTTATTTCATGTCCGAAATATACTCGGAGGGATGGACATTCCCTGTCGAATATTTTACAGTTAACCGGAAGATTCAAGAGTTACCTGAGTTTTAGCTCAACTGTCAGTGAACTATTGTATTTTGCTGTGGCTTGAAACCTTAGATAAAACATGGGCGCTATTATTGAAGTCTTTTTTTGCACTTCCACTATTCAGACTTCATCGAGTGCAAAAAAAACAGAAAATTCAAATTTAATGAGAATGTTTATTATATTTATTATTTATTATCCGCCCATCCGTTGAGTTTAACTTTCGATCGCTCGTCCGAGCATTCTGACTGGTAGCTGGCGAATAACAAGCGTGATGTTTTGCTCCAAGGCCTGAATCGAAGTCAGATTGTCAGCATAAATATTAAACTTTACATATCGCCACAGGGAAAAGTCAAACGATATGACATCAAACGAACTTAGTGGCCAATCGACTGGTCCAAAACGTGAGATTATCTGTCACAGTTCGGTCAAATATTATCCAATAATGAATGCTGAGTCTCAATAAAGGCGTTAGTGTTGCATATAAAACGCTCAGTAGCCTGATTATGTTGACCATAAGTTGAACGAAGCACGTTTAAGATTTTTAAACGCTGTTCAGGCGTAGGTCTTTCCATGATGAAATTCGAAACGCAGCCACAGGAGCGGTGACGCCTAACAAGTCTCTTACGTGCCCACCGGTGCAATCTGGCTTCATTTCATGCACTAAAAACCTGAAAAATCAACAACAAACTAGATCTTTTATTCTAAAACTCTCTTTAATATATTTTTTACTGAAAAGCTTATTAATTATTAACAAAAATTTCATTGGTAAAATTATATATATATTTAAATAGGTTTTTCCTGAAAAATTTGTTAGAAATTTCAAAAATGCTAAGTGACCTCTAATGTGCCACTATACAAACAATTTTTGCAACTTTCCTTCTTAATTAGTTAATTACATTTTAAATGAAAGCTATAAAATGTTCAATAAATTTGCATTCTAAATATTTAATTATACATAATATACACACATACATACATGCATACATATATACAATATATACTGAGCATTTGTACAGTTGTTTATGTTTGCTATCGCAGTGGCTTTAATTACGGAGAAAGCACTTGAAAAGTTTCGGACCGCGGCAATGATTGTGTATACACACACAAACGTATACATATGTATATATAAATCAATATACACACACTCGTATATGCATTATCTAAATTTATATGTAAATGTGTGTATGTATCAGTAAAAGTCATTATTTTATAATAAAATTTATTAAATTTAATTCAAAATGCAAATTAGTCACTGAAGAGTACTTAGGTTTGCGCAAGCGAATCTACACACACACACACACACACACACTACTCATGCGCTCATACATACATACATACACAGATTGTATGATGACAAGCGGCAAAGCATATTATTGAGCCATTAAAGGCCATCAAAATAGGCAGCACCAGCGACAGCCAAACACAGTGGAGGCAAATGTTGAAACCACAATTTGCATGCCAAAGTAGAAGAGGGTGAGTTCTATTATGCTGTTATGGGTATGCATTAATGCACACAAACAAATTTTACCATCAACAACAGCAACAACAATGGACATTAGTGTTTTTGCCAAACGCTCTGTTGCCAGTGCAGCGGACTCATAGTCGACGTAAAGTGCTTAATTTTCAATTTAGTTGTAATGACATTGATTGCAACAAAGTTCGCTCGCTGGTTTGTTTGTGTTTGTGCACCGTTAAAGGTGAGGGTTGCCATTCCTAACAAATTTCAATATTAAATTACTGCAATGACATCGAATGCAGAAGGGTGCGCAGGCAATATGAATAAATTTAATTTATAAGCAGCCATCGCCCCGCCCTCGCTCCTTTTGTTTCTTGCCCCTCATCGCTCGTGTACTGACCGCAGCGCTTTGAGTGCCACAAGTAGTTTTTAAACAATTTTGTATGCAGTATTTTTTCCTTATTTTTATTTTCATTTCCCATTTTTTCTGCTCTATACACATTTTTATTTATTATTTTTAAGTATTCGAGTGTGTTCTTTGAAGTGTTAGAGCCAATTGAGTTGTTAAGTGGCACTCTTTTTCCCCTTTCATTAAATTTTTGCATAAATTTAAATTATTCGGAATTAATTGCAATGATTTAGCTAATTAAGTGGCATTTCAAAATATGAACATAATTTACGGGTTCAGTGATACATAATGGCTAGAAGTTTTATTTTTAATTTTTTTTTTTCGTAATTAAAATGTTGAAAAAATTTAGCTTTTGTCTCTCTAATGAAACTTGTTGTTGAAATTTTGACATAAAAAAATAAATTGAAATGAATAAAAAAGCTTAGAAATGACTAGATAGAAAGCACTGGAATAAATTGCCTACTCTCTCAGAGCCCCCTAAATTATGTTTGGGTCATTTTTGAAAACAGAATTTCTCCTCCATTTTCCCCATACAAATTTTATTTATTCTTTCTCTTTCCATATTACCGCAATGGGCACCAAGTAGTGGTAGGCGATCTCTCATTGTAGAATCTATTTAAACGACTTTTTAAGATTTTCTTCTACAGTTACTAATATTGAATAGCTAGCAAGTTCTCTCAGAGAAAAGTTAAAAAAAAAAGATAAAAAAAAGAACAATTAGCTGAAGAACGTGGGAGAGTAGTGACTCGCCTGACGCATATAACAACAATGTCTATTGCGGACCTCTCTACTTTTTCTCTCTCTCTCTCTTGCATCACCTGCTCTGAACAGAAGTAAACTCATTATTATTGGAAACGTCTTTATGGCTCGTCCTTGACCTGTGGTAGATGTGAGAGTAAGCAACCCTCAAATTTATTAGAAAATATTTAGGTAATTTTTGGTCAGTCCTCTTTTTTATCTAAATATTGGATGAATGCATAAGTTCGTGCCCGACTCCGCTGGATGCCGTTCGAATCGTTTGAGTGTGGCGAAAAAGGAAAAATAGTAGGCGCTGCAACTAAAGATTTTCGCGAAGTTTATTTGGACCATACTCCAGCACTCCGCACAGTAAAGAAATGGTTCGCGAAACTTCGTTCTGGAGATTTTAACCTTGAAGATCAACCCCGCAGTGGACGGCCTTCTGAGCTTGATGACGATGTTCTAAGGACTTTAGTTTCGAATNAGTTTGCACTTGAAATCGGGCACGAACTTATGCACTCATCAATATATATATGCGGCCGCGGTGGTTGAGTGATTAGTATTGCATACTGACATTCGGAAGGCTCGGGTTCAAATTCCCGGGCAACCAACATCCAAAATAAAGCTCCTCATAAAAAACCATCAGCCGTTCGGAGGCGGCTTAGTATATACTTAGGTCCCTCAATTTGTTGGAATAATATCAAGACGAAAAACCAAAAACTGGAGGAGGAGCTCGGCCGCAAAAATTGCTTCAGCAGAAGCCAATTATTATAATTCGAGATTTTTAGTTCATACCAGAAATACTTATTACAGGATTTAATTTCCTATAATGTTTGATTTCGGTCAAATCAGGACTCGACCCCTGGTCTTCAGAATAGCATATGCAGTACTTACCACCCGCCTTTCCCGTCAATTGCTAGTATAAATAGCTTGTTTAATACGAGTTTCAGCTAGACTTTCACAAATCGAAGTGAATTTATTATCATAGAGCCCTCCTTCTTATCACTAACATCTCTTGGATAGCAATATTGTTGGCCTTCATTCGTAGTAACACTTAAAATTCACATTATTCTCTTTTCTAAGCAAAACTTATTTGGCCGCAAGGGGGCGCTCCAAAGCATAAACGAGTTGTTCTTAAAAGTTTATAATTTTTGTAATGAGTATTCTCTATTCTTCCCAACTAACTTGGCAAAGATTATTTAAGCGGTAGAATTGGCTAATATTGATGTGTTAACTGATTATTTATTCCCTCGAATATTGCTCAAAAAGGAAATGCACATTGTAACGTACCCGGTTCTCCGGTTTATAGCTGGGCTATCTCTCAGCCGGATTATGGGTCTCTCCTATAATCTCGATAGAAAAAGGACAACACGGATGGTTCTACCTTACACACTTAGCTTTATTTTCAAATGTTCTACTGGCAGCGTTTTCACGTCAGCCGTATATCTCTATTGGCAGCGTTTTCACGTCACACCATATACTTCTATCTACTCCTATTGGCAGCGTTTGCACGTCACACCATATATTCTACCTACGACAGCACAAACAGAAGTGTCCTATCACTGCTGATGCTGCTCCTTTTATACTAAATTTTCCTACAGGTGGACAGTTATGCACTGCCTTTTGTTGGTAGGCCTATCGCCTGTTCTCTTTTGCCCTACTTAACAGCGACGGCTCGCTACGGTAGTGCCTAGCTTAAATTTCATATGTATACAAAGTGTATATATGTTTATATATATATAATCTTATACTTCTAAAATATAATTAATTATTTATATATGTAAATATATATATATATATATATTTGTAGGTACTTCATGTTATATATATATATATATATGTTGTAACTTCTCTTTCGTTGTTGTTGTTCTTGCTGTGGAGGCTCCAAGGCCTCGGACTTGGGGTCTTCACAACATAAAGTTATCATCTCATTAGTAGTAAAAATATGCGCCCAAGAATATGCTCAATTGCTTTTAGTTGCATTTCCATTATCGTGAATACCTGTATTTCTGTGTGCTCAGTGTTGCTACTAATTCCTTGTATAAATTTTTGTAATTTTTCTATTTATATTTCCCTACAGCCCCGTATCACCGACGTGCTGGGCATACACGACACTTGTGGCGTACACAATTTACACGGCATGCCGGCGCTCATTTCAGCTATTGCCTCAGCGATTTTCGCCAATTTGGTCACCAAAGAAAAATACAAATCTGAATTGGAACAAATCTTTCCAGCGATGGCTGGCGCACCAGAGAATAGCAGTTCAACAATTATACTTGGCGTGAGTGAGATAAAATAAATAACAGTATTTTCTCATTTTTTGATTTTGAAATAATTATTTAGCTTGAAATTTTTCACAAGACTACACATAAAACAAAAAAAACAATATTTTCTTTGCTCTCAGGGCTACGAACGTACAGCCTCTGCTCAAGCAGGCTATCAACTTTGCGGCATTGCAGTCACTTTGCTAGTGGCTATTGTTGGCGGCATTTTGACGGGTAATGCAAGAAATTGTTGAATATAAAAACTGAAATTATTTAAATAATTTTTATTTTTATTACGCTTACAGGTGTTGTACTCAAATATACAGGCATGCGTAAATTGCAAAAGCACGAGCATCATCAGGATGAGTTGCATTGGGAGGTGCCAGAGCACAAGGATGACTAGTAAAGTCGAAACAATGTTCAAAAATATTACACTTTCCCATGTTTTAAGTGAATATATTTTCGTGCACTCTAACTTTAGAAGTATAGTTTTTAAAATGCTAGTTGTAGAAGCCAAAAAAACGCGCAAAGTTTTTGTAGTGTCCAAAGAAATTGTATTTGTGATTATTGAATTACAATTAATTTGAATTATTTCAGTCGATTGATCATTGATTTTGTGTATTATTCTTAGATTTTATTATCATTTTTTTTTTGATGTTTTCACCGCTTAATTAAGTCACATTACTACAATAGAACAAATTCGAATATTATGTTTTATGCAAACACTTAATAAACACGAGCAATTTTAACCCAAACAAAAAAAAACGAAAACAAAAATTAATGTAAATATTTTTTGCAGAGGGGGCTAACATCGTTTTCTGTATTTTTGTTCATGCTTTGAAATAAAATATATCAAAAGTAATTAATTAAAATCATATTTGGAATGAAACATAATTTTCGCTTGAGTAGAGTTGCCATCTATGTATACGGAAATATTAAATGTTATGCAATATGTTATTACATTATATAGAAATGTGTTTAAAGAAAAGAAAAAACGAGCTCTTGATTTACTACATCCCCTCATTTTAGTTATAGTTTAGATATGGTTTCCAATGGATCTCATTTAGACGTTGTTACGTCCTTAGTGCTGCCAAAAACTACTTACGAACAGGCTACACTGCTACACTCTATATTTTGTCTCTAGTTTGAAGAACCTTGCTGTGTTTACTTTCGGAAATTTAAGTAGTCGTTTTAACCTATATTATAGGCATGCGACTACAGAAGGCAATGCCCCGATAATCGCCCTACCAGCAGCCTGGCATCTGGCCTCTCTGTCGCTAGTTGAATTTTTTTAAGTTTATCATCATAAGCTTTGCACTTTGTTTTTTCGATTCTTCAGCCCTTAGGTCATTCGCATTCATTTTCTTTCATTCTGTTCGCCTGACGAGGCAGGTTTACATCTTGGGCTGGCTTTAACGCTCCGAGTGAAACTCGGGTTTGCTTCATTTCTCTGAGTGAAACTCGCCGTTGCCATCTTACACGACAGCTTTCTCACAAAAACTCCTAACGCTTTACGCTTCTGCAGCAAATAGCAGGACGAGAATTATGACTGACCTGTGAAGCTTTGGCAGCTTTCGTCTAGAGAAGACTTTAATGGAATTCAACTGAATTCATTAGGTAATAAACTCTCAATGGATACTCAAATCTTTAAAAAATAGCCATAAGATCAGAAACAGACATACTTTTATCTAACAAATTTCTATTTTTAACGGTTTTTTGAACTTGAGAACGAAAATTTAAAGATTTTAGGGAAAATTTAAGTTTACTTGAAGGATGTAATAGTTATATGGAGTTTGGTATCTTTAACAGTCTTTCTTCTCTACTAAACTAACTTAACTTCTATAACATAAAATATTGTTATTGTATTTGGTGTTTTTGTAAGAAAAGCCATGCTTTGTCGTATTTCTTTATTTCGAAGTTTGAAAGAAATTTCCGATTATTTCGTCATTCGGATATAGGAGTATTATTTTCGTTAGCACCGCCTTTTCGCTATGTCACTCGACTAATATAATTGTTTATTATACACATAAGAAAAAAAATTTACAAAACTTGCAAATTTTTTTCCTACAAATTGCAAGAAAATACTCTAAAAAATAATATATATTTAGTCCCGAAGGCCCACAAGACCAAGAAGTAAGTATAGAAGAGGGAAGAGCAGAGCGCCTTTTCGCCCTTTTTCTCGGAACCACGTTTTTTCAAATGGGTGACACTCTTATTTTGAACCTGTTGATCTTATCAACATGAACTTTGAACGACATTTCACTCTTAAAATATCAAACCAAAAATATTTATTGTTATTTAAAAAAAGGGTAAAAAAAAATTCAAAAGTCCGTCATTTTGTTTTCTTTTGATGAAATTTCTATTCAGAAAAGCTTTGATTTATAAATATTTTTTTAAATTATGAGAACTTTTTTTGAAGGGACTTGGCCTTAAGCTTGATCACCCCTAGTCGCTTATTTCAGTCCAACTCGCTTATTCATGTTGTTGTGCTCATTGAAATTTGCTAACAAACCTGCTGTTCTTTCTTTGATTGAGCTCAAAAACTTAGAACTAGTGGAACTTTTTTTTAATTTACTAAGTAATTTAGCTTTATTTTCAATATGCACGCAGTTGTTTATTTATTTTCGTAACACTCAGCGCTAACAGCTCTGCCGCTCCTTAATGAAAAAATCGCAGAGTTTTTGGTTTTAATTGCAAATATTTACCTACCTTCCTACAAAAGCTTAATTTTTTCCTATTTTTCAATCACTTATGGAAACTTTTAATCAGCATACGAGTAAGTTTTTTCACTCATCTTTCTCTTATTTATAACAAATACACACGATTATGTTTATGTTGCGTTTCTAAAGAATTTATTTTCCACAGTGCATAATCTGAAACGCATTTATTTTCTTCTCTCTCACTCTCTCTCTCTCTCTCTCTCTCTCTCTCTCTCTCTCTCTCTCTCTCCCTCTCTCCCTCTCTCTAAACTACGACAACTGTCACGCCTTATGCCAATTTAAAATTTTAATTTTATTTTTCGCCAAAAATTTATATAAAGTTTCGACAAACTTTTACGCCTGATGGACGCCGGCAGAGTGTCAGCAGTACGTTGGCGCCCAATTATGCTGCGCCACTGGAATGCCATTGTGCCCGAGAATAATTTGTACTATCGCGGTGTTTACAAATGAACTTTTCATTCGTTACGATTTACTATGCAAACACATATATCTACATATCTACACATGCAAACATACCTATATACATATGTACGAACATATCAGCAGCCGTATGCGTAAGTATGCTCGGTTAAATGGAAAAAATCACAAACAAATGTGAACTTTTCGTACTATGAATATGCGTGAAAATTGTAAAAATGGAAAAATGCAACAACAAGAACATACGCAATAATGTAAAAAGCTAGAAAAAAACCTGAAATGAAAATAATAAAATTTCGCATTATTTCATTAAAAAGTTTTTCATGTGTCGTTTTTTTCTTACATGCCAACAGCTCGTTAGGAAAGTAAAGCCATTTATGAACAAACAAATGTACATACTTATATATAATATCTGAAATTAGTATATTTGTTTATAAATGTGAAAAGTCAGAAACTAAAAGCTTTAAACTTTTTTTTGGCAACCAATTGAGAATATCAAGTATTTGCTGGGCGTGAAATTGCAAGTAAACTGGTTGGTATGCATTAACAATTACGGTGTCATCTTCACGATTCTGTTCAAAGTAGATTAATGGTGCCCAGAAATGAACCCCTAATCTGCCTACTCTCATAAAATTTCTGCCTGGAAAATGTTTATTAAAATACTGAAGAAATTTTATTGAATTTATCTAAAGAGTTGAGCTGAAAATCTGGTATATGGCATAGAAATCCAAGAGGATATTGCAGCAGTTTTGTTAGGTTAATCACAATAGATAAATCCAAAAAAAAATTTAAACTCTTTTCGTTTTAAGAAAAATGCGTGAACCTGATTTTTTTGACGAAAGCGTCAAAAGCTTTAACACCGTCAATATGGTACTTCAACCAAGTAAAATTATCTCCCACCGTACGGTATCCGCTGGTAATGTTGAGTTCTTTGTCAGTAGGTAGTTTTAGCTAAGAGCTTGATAGTCTGTGTCGATATCGTCCGTCGTTATTTTTCTTCAACCGTCCTAGTTTCCGCATTCGTCAATAAGTACTAGAGCTCTAGGTACGTTGCTCAACTGCTCAATTTTTATTCAATTTTTTTTTTGTCAAAAAAAGCTAGCTTCTACAGCAGACATGAGTAATGAAGATTTGTATTTAATGGAAGTTTACTCTCCATGCTTACTGTCATACCCAGTAGATTAGGTAGGAGAAGGGAACTCAAACTCCCCTACCGCAATCGTTCTATCTCCTCCTATCTCCTCTGCCTACCGGCTTTCAATGCTTTTGGCACTGCTGATTCATTCTGCTAGTTTAAATTTCTCTTGTTCCTGTTCCTTGTATAGTTCAGCAATAACTAAGGCTGCTCTCTCTGCCTTTACATGAAAGGCGCACCGACAGTAAGTTGATTTAACGTCACGGAGAGCAATACAAGACGATTGCATTCAAGATGGCACTTCTCATCAACCCGATAACAGTAAACAATTGAATTTTAAAATGATAAAAGCTCGAAATTGTTTTCTCGAGCGTAGACGACCTAAATTATTGAGTTAGAGATTCTAAACTTCTCAGAAACGATATTGAGTTGTATGGTGCAAAACTCAAAAGCAGGAATTCACTTCTGGCTTTCGTGTCGGTGAAAAAACTTTATTCCAAAACCAAAGGCCGAAGGATTTCCAAGGCAGTTCTTTTATTTTTACAGACTTGTGTTTGGGTATGTAGAGCATGGCTACTGAAATCTGCTTAAGAGTGATCGTAGTTTTTCAACCCTGACGACGTTTTCCCTTAGCGATGAGCGTATAAAACCGAGTCAGAGTAGGGTTTCTAAGAAAAAGCTGGGTGCTGACCTAAAACACTCAAAGTCAATGAAATTGGGGTATTAAGAAACAAGAGTAAGAAGCAAGCTTAAACATTACGAATTTCAAATCTGCTCATAGCTTTGTGAGAATAATCAAATTAATTATTTTATGCATAATGTACTAATTATTTTTTTTTGCTAGTCTTTGTAGAGAAGCCAAACTGCTAATTAAAATTTCAATAATTTTCTAAAAATCATTCACAGCATTCCACTAATTAAGTACCACATGAGCGAGTTATTAATGCTAATAAGATGAACAAAAACACGCAAAGTGGAAAATAAAAACGGCCGTTATAGCCAATTGGAAAACAGTGCATGCAAAAAGTCATTTTTCTTTGTCAGTTCAAATACACAAGCGTTAATAATTAAATCTTGTATATATTTTGCTTAATATCAGCTTCACAAAAGAAGAACCAACACCTTGACCTGGTTGCAAATGAAATTATTTCACTTGTTTGGAAATCAGATTAAAATTATTTGCAACATTTATTTACAAGCAAATACTTGGAAAATTAACATAAATTACACAGAATAATATGTTGTGTGTTGTTATGAATGACGAGGGCTGCCTTTATGTTACGGTACTTGGCAACCCTTGTATTGCGACCCGGCAATTGACAACTCACTTTTTACCACGCGAGCGCTTTTTGTGTTGTTTGCAGTAAAATACTTACTTGAGACGAATAATTGAATCAAATCGCAACCATTTTCACGGTTTATTTTTTTACTACTTACGAAGTGGATTTACTCAGCAGCAATGCATCGATGAACCTGACAGTATTTAGGGATGGTATGGTAAATTTAATCGAGAATGTAGAGCACATCAAGAAGAAGTTCGTGAAGGTCGTCCAAAATCAGTTGTTGTTCCGTAAACCATGTAAGCTCATATTTCCAGATCGCTATTCGACCTATTGCGATAGACTTATTTTTATTCTCGTACGGAATGAACAAACTGAGAGTTTAATGTTTTTCGACAACTGCAGAGACGGTGGATGCGTTCAGAATGCATGTTTTAGAGATATCTCAATCAGAGAGGCAAATGGACTTCGCCAGTTAGTTCAGACGCATACGAAATTTGATAGATTGTCATGGAGAATATTGTTAAAAGCAATAAAGAAATTTTTTATTATTAATATTTGTTATTTTGTACCCTAATCCCAAAATATAAAGGGCAACCCTCGTAGATTATTCGCATAATCTTCTCAAAGATATCATATTTATGTCGACTTTATTTTCAAGCAAAATATGCAAAATAAGTATTTATACTTAATGGTATATATATATATCTATATATATTGGTATAAATATATGTCAATATGTATGTATGTATCTTTATGAGAATTTTGTCAGTACAAATGTAATTTAACCAACTGATGTATTAAATTGCCACATACAAAAGAACAGATGAGACTCAAAAATATTATGCAGTACACAAAAACAACAATACAGAGCGCATGTACGTTAAATAGCAATAATTTATTTAAATTAAAAAGAAAAAGATAATTAAATTCTTTATTAAAATTGAGCACAATAAGAATGTTCGCTGAGAAAACGCTCCAAAAAGTCCAACAAAAAATCTCAGCTCGTTGTAAAATTAAAAAGTACATTTAATTCAAAATACTCATACGTACTCAATTGCTCAACTTTGGCGCAGCGAAGAAAAGGCTTGCTGTTCGAAAATGTGCTGAGTGGCGTTGTGGCCACAGCCAAGAGAAATGAGAATTGCATATGCATATACATATTCGTATATAGTAAAAACAATATCAACGTAATTTGTTTTAAAAGATTTATTATGAATGAATGGTGATCTTCACTAGGCAGGAGAGTGATACAAGAACCCTCTTTTAAGGAAAATCAAACCCTGCCTGAGAGTATTTTTTTTGTAGACGCCTTTACAGAATTAGAAAGAGGTGTCTAATTATTGATATTTCTTTACCAAATTTAATTGGTTTAGGTGCTGTGAATATATTTTCTTACATACATATTTAATATATCATAGTCCCCGACAGGTCCGGTGCTATCCGCTACAGAAAATAGACAAATAAGCCCAAAAAAAAAAAAAATTAAAAAGTTAAAAAAAAGTTAAAAAAAATATGAAATGCTAAAAGATTTAAGGAGTTAATTGAGATTATTAACGAATGTTCGGTATGAGTTGTCATTTCTTTTATGAACGTTAGCATATCGTTCTTTGTTTCGTTCGATTTTTTTAAGTTTTTAGGTAAAATACAAACATTTTTATAACCCTTAAGCCGATTTCAATATAAATTAACATCACAACTGTCTACTAAACTCTACTTTTGCACAGAGATGAACGAAATTAGATGCATTCAAGTCCATATCGTTCAACGAATCTTAATTGTAAAAAAATTACTATAATTCAATAATCGACATCCCAACTGGGATTTAAAGCGAGTTTGGAAAACATGAAAACAAATTAAATGCCTGAAAACGCGACCACCATTGATTGAAAGCAATGCTGCTCGTATTGAATTTTCAGTTACTTAAGAAAAATTAAAATGAAAAATAAAAAAAAAATTTGGTTTGCTAATTTATATCCTCACAATTTTTTAGCTAAAACTCTAAACATTTAAGTCTCAAACGCTGGCCTGGAATAAAAAACACCTGATTTTTTATGAATACGGCGTGATGCCGAGTAGTGAGCATTGACGTTCGGAAGGCTTGGGTTCAAATCCCGGTGCCACCAACATCCAAAGGTATTGAAAATTAATTAAAATAAGAAGGAGGTTAAATTTTCTAAATGCGATCGCTCTTCGGTAGGGAATGTCCACCCCTACGAGTGTGTTTCGGACATGAAATAAAGTTACTCATAAGGCGGCTTAGTATAAATTGTAGGTCCCTCTATTTCTAGGAAAAACATCGAAATGCTAAACTACAAATTGGAAAAAATCACCGAAAAATCGCTTCAGCGGTTACAAAACGCCAATTATGTATATATATTTAATGAAATTTGATGACTAACCCTTTGAAACAGTGGCAGGTGGCAGAGTTTTTACACATATAAGATGCATTTATCTACTGCCGAAAACTAGGCTTAGATAAGCCTCATATATGAATCGATTGCAGTGACTCGTAGACATAACTAAAACATTATGTTGGGTCTAGTAGTTTTTCGAATTTTTGAGACGAGGAAACTTAATTTTCATGCAAAGTATTAATATTTTATACGAAATTTGTATAGCAAGCATGACCTGGTTAAATAAAGGATCAATAAATTAGTTTCAAAATAATTATGATACGAAGTAAAGCGTTGAATTCGAAGATCTTTTCCGTAAACTTTCAATATTATTTAAGAAAACACAAAAAACTCAGCAGAACCGAAGGCGACCATCACGCGACAATTTCTTGTTTTTGTAACTGCAAAATTATTTCCGAAAGTCATATGGAATGAGTGACAGTTTTTTGCCAGATAAATACTCAGGTCATTTCGGTGCTTAGACTCGGCTGTAGCTGGAACTATTTAACTTTAGTCCTCTTTTACGACAAGCATGATATCCGTGGGTAAATTTTTGAAACCCTAACGGCAAGAAGTGTAATTAAATTTGGTACCTACAAAGAGTAACAAAAAATTGTATTGAAGAACATGAGCTATTTTCTAATTTAAATCATATTTCGCGCGCAATTCAAGCGAAAGTTCAAGCGAATGGCTTACCTCTTCCATATGAAACACATTAGAATAATTGAGCAACAACGCTCTTCACTGAGCGTGGGCGATTACTATAAGCGATTACTATGTGTGTGATTCACTTTGTAATTCTTATGTGAAATGAATACACAAAGCAAATGGGAGAAAGAATAAAAACGCAAGCAAAACAAATAGAAAATAAAAAATAAATGAAAACAAATTACATACATACATATATGCAAAGTCGAGTACCGAAGAATACAACTCATCAGTCGCTCACCACACTTTCCGATGGATAGCTAGACCGCTAAAAGTAACGCTTGACGACAGCGAAAAAAACACGGAACACCGCAAAACAATGTAAAAGAACTTCACTTTTGTGATTTTTATTTTAAACGCGCGTCCAAAAGAGGTGCAGTTTTTCCCTTTTCGCGCTAGCCTAACGACCTTCCGATTTGCGCGGTGTGAGGGTGGCTTTCTTTTTGCCAATGTATGCAAAACTCATCAAGCGTAAAGGTGGTTTGCTATGCTAATGTGGCTCAGATTTAACGCATATGACTTGCCTTCAAAGGGAACGTCGCAAAAACAGGTGAAACGGTCACCAGCAGACCGTCGTGATATTTGCGGCGTGAGCAAATTTTTCTATTAATTCTATGCATAGCTGGCTGTGCTTGTGCTTTTCTTTTTGCTTACGAGTGTGTGTGTGTGTGTGCAGGTGTGTGACTTGTCATGCAATCATGTTGACACTAATGACCGCGTCGGGTGTACCTGTTGGTGAAATGTGCTGCTGTTATCTACCAGTTGATATCTAATGTGCAATTTTAGACGAATAAAAAAGCTGAAAGTGATTTCTATTAAGCAAATATACATATATATGACATTTCACTATTCGTTCGTACATACGTAAATATATGTACGTAAGGGTGAGTGAGTGTGTGTCAGTTCTTTGTGCGTTTAGCAAGCCACATATTGTATTGTGTCGCCTATTTGCGAGTGGCATGCAACGCAGGTCATTAACGCGTATCTAAAAGTATATGAAAAAAACCAAAAAAAAAAAAAAATTATGGTAAACTGTCAGAATTGTGTATGCGCGTGACAAGAAGTAGCAAATAATAATGGATAATGAGAACGCCAAAATGAAATAAATTTAACAAATTCACCATAAATGCAAACGTACACTAATGCTCATACAAAAAGTCAATATATATGAACCTATCTACATAAAATCGAGAATCAACAACAAAACTCTAAATTTCCTATACAAAAAAGTGTTTTCCAATGTCTGCTTACGGCTACAATGCAACTAGCAACAGTTTTACTATATAAATACATACATATGTGTAAACAAACTATTAAATGTATATGTAAATTATTACATTTAAGTGTATCAACGACGACAACAACAACAAAATAATAATAATAATAAACCCACTATTACCACGCCGTATACTATAGATATATATATACATAAATATATAATATATTGTAGAAGTGAATTAGCGTTTATTATGCATACATATGTACATGCATGCAAATGTGTGGAAGCCTTCATACAATCGCTTTGTCAGTTATTTAGTCAGCTAGACGCTGTGTCAAAATATAGGCGAAAAATATGACAACCGAAATGTCAATTAATGTCAAGCAGCGGCATCTGCTGACAATCGAAAAGCTACGCAATCGCGTACATCAAATGCTGAAATGTGTAATAAATTTGCATATTGAATTTTTGGTAATTTGCACAAATATACTGATATTTTAAACTAAAATCGAATTGAACGAGTTAATATCGTTGATGAAATGTAAGAATACGCTAACTGACATTTTGTAAGTTTTAGTGGAAAAAGTTCAAAATTTATAAATTTTGTTTTATGTTTATTAAACGGATTTCCTAACGCCAAATTATATTTTTATTATACACACTTATCTGATTTTTAGTTACAGCTCTCCCTGAAAACTAAAGCAAGGGTGTTCCACAATTGTGTCGGTTAGTGTATTTCTATGTTTCAACAGCGATATAAACTTGTACACACTTTGAATGTTATCACGTTAATAATTCATTTGCCTAGTATTTCTATAACTTGTTTAATTACATATAAATAATATATTTATTCTTGTGTCGAAAAATCGGCAGATTAGCCCTTAAACTGATTGAGTATTGCAATCATACACATTAGATCTCATGTAATTGGTTAGGTTAGATTATGTTGGCTGGCCAGCACGCCTTACACAGACCAACCTGCCAGATGGAGGCATAGTTTAGTTCGAGCTGAAGTAGTCAGAAATTTAAAATAGCCTTGATATCTAATTTTGATACTTCATCTTGTCCTAGAAATCTAGGACGAATTGTAGATAAGGACGGGCAGAAGCAGAGTAGGTGTTCTAGCATCTCGCTAATGCTTTTTCCCCTTATTCGCCTCGCAGTTGATGCCAAACCTGTCATTAAGCCAACAACCGTTCTGCAAACCTTCTGCGTGTTTTCCTTCGTCCATGATTTTGAACCTGCCACTATTTCATATTATTCACAACTGACGCTTTGTAATAGACGGATTCGGCCGATGCGCGTTTCAGCCGATCTCCTTCTCCAATTAAATGTGTGTGTCTTGATGTTCATTCTAAGTACACTCCGAACAGCTGATGGTATATTATGAGAAGCTTTTATTTCCTGTCAGAAATATATTCAAGGGGTTAAGAACCTTTTCCGAGGACCGACGACATTCGGCTATCGAAAAATCGGGCTGATATTTTGTAATTTAATATGAGAAATTATACCAGTTTTTATACAAATAACTGAATTTGGTTTCCCCGCTGTGTAAACTGACCTTGAGCCATACCAAGAACTCCGTTAGAATAGGGAAGGATCTCTCCGAGCCGTTCGATACCAAGTGAGGATTCAGACAAGGCGATTTCTAATCGTGTGATTACTTTAATTTGATGCAGGAGAGAATAATAAGAGCTGCAGAGCCGAATAGAGACGGTACAATCTTCTGCAAGAGTGTACAACCACTGGCGTACGCCGATTATAAAAGATATTATTGGCCTTAGCAGCTTCGCCGTTTGTTCTGCTTTCTCCAGACTCAATAAAGTAGCGCAGCAAATGGGTGAAATGGGTGAATGAGGGCAAGACAAATAAACAGTCATCGCATTCACGACTCGGCTCCCACGTCACTGTTGACGGTCGTAACTTTGAAGTCGTAGATAACTTCGTCTATCTAGGATCCAGTACTAACACCAACAATAATGTCAGCCTAGAAATCCAACGCAGAATTACTCTTGTCAACAGTTGCCACTTTACACTGAGCAGGCAATTGAAAAGTAGAGTCCTCTCTGAGCGAACGAAAACCAAACTCCACAAGTCGGTTATCATACTCGTTCTTCTAAATGGCACAGAAGCATGGACGATATCAATATCTGATGAATCAGCTCTAGGGGTCTTCGAGAGAAAAGTTTTGTGTAAGGTTTATGGTTCTTTGCGCATTGGCAACAGCAAATACCGCAGACGATGAAACGATGAGCTGCACGTGTTATACAGCGACATTGATATAGTTCAGCAAATGAAGAGACAGCGGTTACGTTGACTAGGTCATGTCGTTCGAATGGATGATAGCACTCCAGATTTGAAAGTATTCGATACAGTACCGGCTAGTGGAAGCAGAGGAAGAGTAAGACAGACAGAGGAAGACTCCGTTTGAAGAATCAGATGGGGAGTGAGCTGGCTTCACTTGATATTTCCAACTGGCGCCAAACAGCGAAAAGAAGAGATGAATGACGTGCTATTATAGATTCCCTCCAATCGCACTTGCGGTGATTTCAGCTCAATGGGCATATCGATTTCTATTTTCTATTATTTTTAATCTGTTCTTTTCAGTTGTTGCTATTTTTTGGGTATAATTTTGCCTTTTTTAACTAGTCTTATCAGTTTTTTTTACTTTTAATTGATAACAAAACACTCTGACTACCTTATCATTTTGTCGTATAATTAAAATCACCAAAAAAATAATTATTTTAGTAGTTATTGAGTTTCCACTCGTATTTTTCCAATTGTCTCGTGTCATTTGTGTATTTAACAATTAGAACATTTACTCAATGTCAATATTGTGTGGAAACCCTCACTTAGTTTCAGTATTTTTGTGTGTAAATATGTATGCTTTGAAGCATTGTGCATTGTCAACAAAACCAAATTCACAGTTTTACACTGCAATGCAAACAAAACCCCCTTTACGCCCAACTACTCACCCGCAGCTCATGCAATACAAGCAATCACCGGGTATGTATGTATGTATGTATGTATGTATACAAATAAACACCTTTAACTGACGCACCGAACACTTTTGTAGTGTTTGTTTGCTAGGTGCATTATTTAACCTCAATCTCTGCTTAAGTACATACAAACAAACATGCATACATACACTTGTGTACACAGATCGTATATTTATAACAAATAGAAGAAAATAGTTGAAGGTGTCGTGGAAACTAGACTATTGACAATGAGTGTGACGAAGCGAGTAATATTTGTGGAATGCGAATCAAAGAAACAAAGCGATTAGCGAAGACGAAGAAGCAGTGGTATTAGAAGAAGAAGAAAATGAAGAAGAAGAAGAAGGTGAGGAATTCTTGTTGAGAAGTGTGGAAGACCATGAAAGCTAGTCCCTCGAATAACACACACATTTTCTGTCAAAAAGGTTTCCGAAGTTTGCCTCCATAGAATCTTACTCTGACTTTCATCTCATCAAACCTCGTTTGCGAAGCCACGAAGCATATAATGTTGCTTCTCTCATTTCCAAAAAGGCTTCATATGCTGGATAGCACTCTACATATGATGATGTGGTGAAAGACAAAACAATTTTTATAGTTTTTGGAAAAATTATATTATGTAGGGTTATCCATTTCGTAATTTCAAAGGTACATATCAGATCAAAGATGTTTTGTTGTAGGTAAAAGTCAAACAATTATGAAAATGAATCGTTTAAAATGCGAAAACCTACAACAAAAATGGTGATACAAAGCGCATACGCGTCCATCATCTCAAGAAACTAATGAAATCCTAAAGAACTTTGAAGAGATGGTATCGGTCGCAGGTATTGTAAGGCCTGTTCATCATCGTGTTTTTCGCTCCACCTCAAATATCACTCGTGTAAAAGAAAGTGTAGCCGAAGACTCGAATGTGTCTTACGGGACTTTCTTACAGTTCATTATGGCATATTTTGCACTTGAGCTTACACCTACGGCCATAGAAAGTCCATCTCGCAAAACAACTGAATCCAGCTGGCCGTGCATACGTCAATTTAGTGGTAGAACAATAAGCTGTGGGCGGCGATTTCTCGAATAAAATTTTCTACAGCAACGAGGAAAATTTTTCAATCCGAGAATACGTATTAATTAAGACACATTTGTAACTCCAAGAACCTTTAAACAATAGAAGAGAGGTCAGTACAGCTGAAAAAAACTTACTGTCCGGTGCGCTCTTTGGTACGGAGATGTGGTTGGAGCTTACTCCTTTCAAAACGTTATGGTCGTATGATAACTGACTTTTTTGGTATTCAACTAAAGAGCACGGCAACATGAAGATTTAATAATATGATATCACTTGCCACACAACATGAGCGAATATGGCATTATTGCGAGGGAAGTTTCCCAGCCGCGTAATCTCTCCACTTGGCGATATCAGTTGGCCACAGAGATCGTACCATTTGACACCGTTAATTGCACAAACAACCGGAATTATGGGGATAAACCTTTAACTTTTGAGCACTTGGAAACCAACCTTCGTTCAGTTATGGCTGAGATATCGGCCGATATGTACCAAAAAGTGGTCGAAAGTTACCTCAAACGGTTTGAAATTTGCAAAAATTAGCAGGGTGGTCATTTAAAGGGTGTAGTGTTTCACATACAGAGCCAAGATTGAAACTGTATAATAAAATAAGAATTTTTTGAAAAAAAAACGCATAAGGGTTATCCATTTTGTACTTGTGATTGAGATACTCTGATTCCTATGGCATCTATAACGGTCTAGGGTAGTAGCTTTGTCGAAAATGAAAGAAAAATCTATTTTCTAAATTCGATCATCCCAGATATTGTCATTCAATCAGAGTTTATAATTAATTTGCAATAAAATCTTCACAAAAAAACCCATCAGCCATACGTAGACGGCTTAACTTGTCGCTCATATAGCTTAAGGTTAGTTGTTAGAGCTTTCATCGTACCCACAATAATTATATGGTCTGTTTTAAGGTTGTCAGCTTACGGTCTAGATTTTTCTACACCATTTCTTAGTTCCTTACTAAAGGAAGTTAGACGAACCATCCTCAGCACTGTAAAAAAAATACTCAATCTCTTAAATTTTTTCTACTCTCCACCACAGGTTCTTGAATCGAATGTTAATCAATTAATCGATGATGTGAGAGACTTTAACGAAGAGTTAATGGAAGTTCAACGTTTGGATGCGCTCATTAGCGCGTTGCGAAATTACAGTGGCCCCACAATATGTCATGAATGGCCATATCCACTAATTTTCAAGGGCACTATCGATGATGCAGATGTAGCACAAATACTCAATGGCAGGCAGAAGGTGGGCAAGAGTAAAATTAATGGTAATTTAAATGAGACTAAAGACAATTGTGAACTAAAGAGCAGATCAACAGTGAATAATACAACGACGCACGAGCTGTGTAGCGAAGCGATTGAATTTAGAAATTAATTTAGTTAGTAAGGGTATTCACAATAAGTTCTTTGATTTAAATTTTTTTTGTAATTATTTTCTTAATTGGTCTAGCCATAAAATAATTTATTTGATATAAGCGAAATAATTAAATACAATTAAAAAAATTTAATAAACATATTTTAGTAATTACCACAAAGCAAAACACTTAAATATGCTTGCTGTGAATAGCCCTAAAGTAGTTGTGAGTACGTCAGTTGTAATTATAACACTTAAGCCATTCTCATATTTTATATGTCTACATTATTAGAGATACATATATGCTATGTACATGCATATATATTGTGTATGCAATATTGTATATCAGCAACAGGTATACATACATATGTATGTATGTAATAAACGTAATGACATTTGGTACAGCCTTCTTATGAGTGTCATATCATATGTTTAATTAAATAAAAGAATTCTTTATATATGTATATATGCATGATTATAAAAGTATATACATACATATTAAATATCTTATGCTTGAGCCAATAGTTGCATATCTACAGACAGTTTACTGCTAAGAATGTCAATGGAGTTGTGATATACTCGCAGGTATGTATGTATTTGTGCCATTGTATTGCATTACAATGTAATGAGATTAATTTACTATTGAATAAAGACTATACCAAAAGACAAATAATTATTTTTCTCGATACACTGGGAAAATATGCTTGGTTTTCGTGTTGTTGTTGCCTTAGGGGCCTAGGATTTTCTTCTTCATCAATGGCGTAGACACGGCTTACGCGATTATAGTCAATTCAACAATGGCGCGCTATTTGTTCCTACTCTCCGGTATTTGGCGCCAGTTGGAAATACTAAGTGGAACCAAGTCACTCTCTATCTGATACTTTCAACGGAATGAATGTCTTCCTCTTTCGCTGTTTCAACTGGTGGTTACTGTATCGAATACTTTCAAAGCTGGACGACATGATTTAGCCAGCGGAGACGCTGTCTCTTCAATCGCTGAACTATGTCAATGTCACCATATAACTCGTACAGCTCATCGTTCCATCGTCTCCGGTATACGCCGTTATCAATGCGTAAAATACAATAAATTGCTTGCAAAACTTTCCTCTCGAAGACTCCCAAGGCCGACTCATGGGATGTCAACATCGTCCACGTTTCTGCAAAATACTCGTAAAGTAGAACGCGAATGATGAGGGACTTGTAGAGTTTGGTTTTCGTTCGTCAAGAGAGGACTTTACTTTTCAATTGCCTGCTCAGTCCAAAGTAACACTCGTTGGAAAGAGAGATTCTGCGTTGGATTTCCAGGCCAGACCCATACGCTTCGCTTCTTTTTCGAGTCTGGACGCGCTTATTACGGACTGTGATGTCAATATCATCGGCAGACGACAACAATTGTTTACTCTTGTATGAGTTTGTGCCTTGTTCATTTAGCTATGAAACTCGTATTATTTTCTCCAGCATTAGATTGAAGAAATAACAAGATAAAGTGCTGCCCTGACGAAGCCTCGTTTGGTATCGAAAGGTTTGGAGAAGGACACTTCTCAATTCTAACTGCGCTTCAGTTTACACAACAGTATAAGTTTTGCACAAATACCAAATTCTGGCATAGCGACGTAGATGTTGAAGCTCAACAAATTACCAGCTTGGTTCCTACATTAGTATGCCGGTGAGTAACTGGTGAGCGTTACGTATCTTTTCATACAATTTGCAGCATTACTCTTATCGGCCAGCTTCTCAAGCATGTCGGCCTCCTTCTGTTTTCGTCTGAAAATCCATCTTGCTTGCCTCTTCAGCTTTCGGCATCTTTCTTACCCGCACGTGTTGTGGTGAATCGCAAAGCTTTGATGTAGGCATTCTATTTGGCTCTCCCCTACAGCTTGACTTTTCTCAGCGTACCACCTCTTTGAAGTAATATTCTCAAGATTAAAACCTTACGACTCTTACCAAAAACAATGTATAAACCAATTGAAAACAGTTATGCCATAAAATGACACGCAGCAGGTTGCAGTGTGAACCACAATCGAAGCAAAAATATATTTAAATATAAATTTTTCAAAGTGTAAAAACATTATCACCAGATACTGGTATCGCCGGCTTTGAAATGCGGCATTGGCATTTTGTTAACATTGATATATATACTCCATACATGTGAGTATATGTGGAACTTGAAATAATAATCAATAAACCACGAAAAATAAATAATCTGTGAGAACACATATAAACCGCAAAGCTATGAGCCGAGTCGAGCTTAAAATTTGCTATTTATTCTGCTTAAACATATCATAGTTATCATAACCGACAAACCGTCATTTGATACCGCAGTTAGAATATATACCGAAGCTAACCACTCAGTAGCTTGCAAGGTGTATGAGTAGATGTCAAATGGTGTGAAAATTCCTAAGTGACCAGGTGACAAGCATGAGCGCGTTTATGAGAAACTACATACAAATGTATTATATCAATAAATCTATTGAAAAAATGCTGCTCACTCAAGGTCCGCTGTCGACAAGTACACTCATATTTTATCTGCTTCCTTTTTGTTTTACATTTACAATATCATATGCCCGGGAAAAGTAAGGAAACTTCTTACAGGAAGTGCAGTTGATAAGTTCCATATTCTTGTAATATAAATTAACTGTAGAAAGTGTTGTTTATTATTTTTCTTAAGGTCATTAAATTATTATCATCAGTTTTTTTTCCAGCTGAGTCACGATTAAAAATATTGACAAATTAAAATTTATTAACAGAGTTTAACCTCTCTTTAATTTAAGAATTTTAATTATCAACGGAAACGCTCTTCTGCTTAAGACAGATTTACATATAAATAAAGGAAGTATGTATTTATAAATAATCTAAAGCGATGAATCCTTGTTTTATATTCATGTTGAAAGGTCATTTCATTGAGGCTTTGATTCTGTAAAATATATATAATTTTTTTCAATAACTGTAAGCGGCAAGGAGGAGATCTTTTACTCAGTATCATATAAAGTCTACACGCAATCATCAACGAACAATTCGAACTTTATGAGGGCAGCTTTTGGCATAGATTTTCCCCATTCGGCAGTCGTTATAGCCGAGTGGTTAGTATCAAGTTCTGCCATTCGAGTCCTGATTGCACCAAATTACTCCCGGCAGGGAGTGTCAAGCCCTTCGACTGTAATGCTGACATGAAATAAAAAAAGCTCTTCATAATATTCTGTTGGTCGCTCGGAGGATGGGTCGGAATAAGCAGTGTAGGTCCCTCCATTTATTGGAAAAATATCAAAACGCTTACATCGAAATGGAGGAGGAGCAAGACCGAAAATCTCTTCAGCGGTTATAAAGTGCCAACCCAAATTTTGTTTATTTTAGAATTGCCTTCGTTATTACGAAAAAGAAACATCTCTGACTAAATACGAGTATGTGTAAATATATATAATGACCGCTAAGGCGATTTCCGGCCGAGGTTCTCCTTCAATTCGCTGTAAGCGTTCTGATATTTTTCTAATAAATGGAGGGGCATACAGCATATTCCAAGCCCCTCCCCCTCTAGCTGAAATACCTCTATTTCATGACAGAAATACATTCGTAGAAGTTGACATTCCCCACAAAGGGGGGATAAAGATTTATTTTATTTTTAACTTTGGGTTTTTTGCCAGATCAGAAAATAACCCCGTGACTCTCCAAAACAAAAAATGAAAGCAAACAATTACAAAAATATTTTCTTCAGTGCAATCGGGCTGCAGCACCATCGAAGGGGTATCAAAGTCGAAGCACACATCCGATGGAAAACCCTAACAGTGTCGTTACTTTCATTTTTCCTTATCCCTCCTTCTAGCGTCTCGCGTTCAGAGCTTAGTCACAATCTATAGGTTAAGCTACTTGCGGCAGCTCGGTTTTGTATAAATAAAGTTTGGTCAGTTTTGTGCCGAGCTTTGCTAATGTGATTATCTTGTAACTCACAACAATTTCACTCAGCCGGCCGGTCGCTTAGAATAGCTTTACCACCTTCCATGCGTTCCGTTGACCAGCAGTATGGTTGTTGGTTGGCACCAAAATGTAAATAAACAATTAACAGACTAACGCGGTAAGTATAACATTGGGCTCCAAGTCTTCCAGATGTGGAATAAAATGGAAATACAGACGAGCTGGCCTGGATTTGCCCCGCTAGCAGGACTGTTACCATCAACATTCTCATGTCCTAAGTGCCTTTAAATGTTGTCTAAAGCAGTGGACCATGGAAGAGCACAGCCAATTTAGGATGTACCGCTAAACTATTGTGAGGCTACGTGTATTATTGACAGTCCATCGAGACGTCACATCTTTCAACCAAACAATCAAAGATTTCCATACGTAAATAGCTATTGTGACATCATCTGCTCTTTCAGATATATATTAAGACCAGAAAGTTTCCGGAATTTGTCATTTAAACTGACCCTCCCCACCCCCGCTAATATTTTTCAATACTTTCTTTGTTAAGTTGGTCCGTAATGACTTTGCCTAAACTGCGATCATCTGTCAACCAGTTGACAGCAGCTGTTGAAGTCAATCGATCCCAGTTGCCTCTGCGAAATTTCTTTTACGGAGTGGTAACTTGAGTTTTGGAAACAAAAAAAAAGTCGCATGGGGCCGAGTCCAGTGAATATGGTGGTTGATCGATGGTGTACAACTAGTTTTTGGCTTCTAAATCGTTCACAACTACAGCTCGGGGCGTTGGCATATTATCGTCATGAAAGTTTCCGGAAATTGTTGACCCACAACCCTGGCAGTATGCGATAGTTGCTTTCGCACAAACGGTCAAATAATACTACCAATTCCGTTGGAACGAGTTCATGATGAACCAAACCGCGAATATCAAAAAAAATAATAATAATTTCCGAATAATTCTGGTCTTAATGTTTGGTAAAAAGGAAAATTAAATATATAAAATTGATTATTTAGACCTGAAGTGATTTTCAGCTGACTTCCTACTCCGATTTGTGGTGTGCATCAGGCTGTTCTCTTCCATAAAGTGGACTCACCTATAGTTTGTTCTTAGTACCATCCGAACTATAATTGGATTTTCATGATGAGCAATTTATTTCATACTAAAAGTGTACTGGGAGGAGCTCAAAAAAAATCATTAGTCTAAGCAGGATTCGCACCAAGGAACTCCGCATGTTAGAACGCTAGAGCAGTCGCTACACGAATATAGTTCTATGATTTAATATCCAGCTGACAAAGCCATGTTACTCTTGCAAAGGCCAAAAATTTCAGTCTTGAAACGGAAGTTTCTCGAATTTCGAGCTCAAGATCCAATATTGCAATATTTTATTTCTTCACTTCAAATTAAAGCACAAATCATTGCTAACTATAATTTATTGTTTCTGCTATAAAATTTAATTTACTTATTTGCCCAGTTACTCAAATTAGGTAAAAGCTCTACACACCCATTATTTAACATTCTGTAATGGTTCTTCCGTAAAATGTTCAACCAAATGATTTTTGTAAATTTCTCACACACAAAAAAATCAAAACAAATCAAGTGTTTTCTTAACTTTGTAAGAATTTAACAACCAAATCACTCGAAATCCCAACATATAAATGTGGGTATGAACATTGTATTCAGACAAATTCCTGGTGGAGTGTAGTCTATGCAAATATTCGGACAAATGTACTGTCTTGCAATAAATATACAAACACAAATACAAAAAAAACAACTTACAACTAAAATTTCCACACTGCAAACGAAACAAAACTAGTCCGAAAAATGTCCAAATGTTACCAACTACCAAACAACTGACGTCACTGCTGACAGTCATAACTTTGAAGTTATAGACAACTTCGTCTGCCATGGAACCAGTATTAGCACCAACAAAAA